ATGCTTCTTTAGCTGCATTGATGGTAAAGAGACAAGGATTCCACATTTTTTTTATCAGAATGGTCCCTTTGTTAAAAAATAAGAATATGAGAGGTATGCTGTGTTGGAAAAAGAGAAACAATTATGTTTTTGGTAGTATTGGTGCTGTTGTAAATGATTGGAAATGATGATGTATGGTTTCTAGGTAAACATCATTCCACCTGTCAAGTAACCTAACTGTTGAGCCCCAGCAATCACTGAATCCTAGCCACTACCCAGAACTGTTAAGTTTCATAGCAATCAAGGGTGGAATATGACACCTCCAAGTGCCCAAAACAGGGCAAATCTAAAAGTAGGAGGCCTTAGCTCATATAGGTGCAAAGATGGTTTATCCAGCTTCTACAGCTAAGTTATTAGAACTGTCTATACAGAAATATATTCAGAGGACTCTTCGGATGCTACATTTAACTAACAGCCAATCAATAGGAAAAACATAATCACTAATTTTCAGCAGCAGTACATTTTAGGAGCAATAAAACATGGTCCACAGCTTCCAATCAACTGACCACAATACAGAATTTACTCTGTGTAGCGACGGGGTTGAGTGTGTCCAGGTGATAGTGAACTGTTGTAGACAAAAGTGGTTAGGTTGGGGCAGGACGGAGATGAAATGTTGTCATAGAGGTGGTCAGTATCAGAATAGAGAAGAGTTAAAATGGCAAAGGTTTGTACGAGTAACTGTTAGGTGGTTAGAGGGAGAAGTGGAAGACAAGGAGAGAGTGAAACTAGTAAGGTAGTGATCAGAGGGAGGAAATGGATTGTTGGAGAGGTTTGTGGAGGGCATAGGTAGGAGCAGGGGTGGACTGACCATTTGGAAACTCGGGCACTGCCTGAGGGCCCGGGGTCAGTAGGGGGCCCCATGAGATGCCCCTGGTACCTTTTTCATAGGCTTTTTTTTGAGTTTGGGCAAGGGCACAGGGGCCCCATGATCCCCTATTGCCCGGGAGCCCCATGAGTTGTCAGTCCACCCCTGGGTAGGAGTATACAAAGTCCAGGGTGTTGTGGTCAGAGTGAGCATGTGTTCATTGCTACAGGTCAAAAGAGGAGGTTAGACTGAGAATTTTAGAAGTAGCAGGAGTGTTAGTATTAACAGAGATGTTGAAGTCACTGAGAATGATTGTGGAAATTTCATAAGAGAAAAAGTAGGGTAGCTAGGTATATAAGTCATCAAGGAAAGTTGATACCAGTCCAGGGGGAAGTAGATCACAGCAATTCTCAAAGAAACTGGAGAAAGTAGATTAATACAGCGTGTCTCAAATTAAGAGAGTATCAAAGAGGGAGCTGTGCAAAGAATATGAAAGGTGCTTTGTGGGGATATATGGATTCCAACTTCACCTCCTTTCCATCCACTGGATCTCGTAGAATGGGTCCATCTAAGACAACCATGGGAAAGGGAAGCAGGAGAAGCAGTCAGATGGGGCACTATTCCTCCCACTGACACCAATGATGGAGTACTATTCCTCCAACTGACACTAATGATGGGGCACTATTTATCCCACTGACACCAATGATGGGGCACTTCCTCCCACTGACACCAATGACGGGGCACTATTCCTCCCACTGACACCAAAGACGGGGCACTATTCCTCCACTGATACCAATGATGGGGCACTATTCCTCCCACTGACACCAATGATGGGGCACTATTCCTCCCACACTGATACCAATGATGGGACACTATTCCTCCCACCGACATTAATTATGGGGCACTTCCTCCCACTGATACTAATGATGGGACATTATTCCTCCCACCGACATTAATGATGGGGCACTATTCCTCCCACTGATACCAATGATGGGACATTATTCCTCCCCCTGACACCAATGGTGGGGCACTATTCCTCCCACTGATACCAATGATGGGGCACTATTCCTCCCACTGACACCAATGATGGGGAACGATTCCTCCCACTGATACCAATGAGGGGGCACTATTCCTCCCCCTGACAACAATGATGGGGCACTATTCCTCCCACTGACACAATGATGGGACACAATTCCTCCCACTGACACCAATGATGGGCACGATTCTTCCCACTGACACTAAAGATGGGTCACTTTTCCTCCCACTGACACTAATGATGGAGTACTATTCCTCCCACTGATACCAATGATGGGGCACTATTCATCCCATTGACACCAATGATGGGGCACCATTCCTCCCACTGACACCAATGATAAGGCACTATTCCTCACACACTGACGCTAATGATGGGGCACCATTATTGGTGTCAGTGGGAGGAATAGTGTCCCATCATTAGTGTCAGTATGTGAGGAATAGTGCCGCATCATTGGTGTCAGTGGGAGGAATAGTGCCCCATCATTGGTGTCAATGGGAGGAATAGTGTCCCATCATTGGTGTCAGTGTGTGAGGAATAGTGCCCCATCATTGGTGTCAGTGGGAGGAATAGTGCCCCATCATTGGTGTCAGTGGGAGGAATAGTACTCCATCATTGGTGTCAGTGGGAGGAATAGTGCCCCATCATTGGTGTCAGTGGGAGGAATAGTGCCCCATCATTGGTATCAGTGGGAGGAATAGTACTCCATCATTAGTGTCAGTGGGAGGAATAGCGCCCCATTGTTCTCAGTGGGCAAAGCTCTAATAGGAAGAGGTGGAGCCTAAAGAGGAAGGGGTGGAGTTTTCAGATGAAAGGGTGGGACAAATGTAGATGCAGGGAGGGGGGTGCCCGATTTTAGTCTTGCCTAGGGCAGCACAAAACCAAAATACACCACTGACGACCTTAGACCATTCCAAAAATAAAAACCTTAAAGTAGATGTAAACCCAATCACTAAAACCTCATATAGTCTATACACATTCATTACATAGCATTAAAATTAATTTTTAATATCTTTAATTCTGCAGGTTTTAACAAAATAATACATGGTGATCCATACATGAAGGTCTTTGTTCTGGGATTTTCTCTTATCGATGTCTGTTCTTGATTCCCAAATGTGTTTCTGCACTTTCATCTTGTCACATGGGTTTCCCATGGAGGCTACAAGTGGTCCTTTCAACACACATTAAGCGGGCATGATCTACTATTGGAATGTTTTCTTTATTTAAAACAAATGGCAACTGGTATAAATACACAGTGCTTTAGCAAACTAATTATTATTCAGTTACATCTATAGTCTTTAAGTCAGGGTTTCATCCATTGATAGACTGACAATAAGGTGTCAGTCAATTCAATTGTATTTTCTTTTAGTTTTTAATCAAAGGGGATATGATAAAGACTCCATCAGTTTTTTTTCTTTTCATGGTTGCATCCCATCAGGGAGATTTCCCTTCACTGCAAATCAAAATAGGAAAAGATTCCTCCAAAGTGAAGGTAAATTTCCTCTTAGACAGTTGTCATCAAAACAAGTTTCCCCACTGAAAGATTTCCTCACACCTTCTGTTCTTATGACAACTCAAAAATATTGGATTTTCCATCATCTTTCTCAACGGAAGACAATTTCTCCAGCAGAGATACAGACAGGAATAAAAACTCAACTGGGCTTCTAACCCTTCTAAATTCTTGTAAAAAAAAAAAAAATAGTTGTGGGTGTATGTTCTTTGTTTTTCTAAAAAAAAAATGCAATCCTTAAGAATATAATTGGAAGAAATACTGGCACTATTTCAAAACTGTTTTTTTAACCACTTCCAGACCGGACACTTTTACTCCCTTCCTGACCAGGGCAATTTTGAGCTTTCAGCACTATCACACTTTGAATGACAATTGCGCGGTCATACAACACTGTACCCAAATGAATTTTTTACCATTTTTTTGAGACAGATAAAGCTTTATGTTGGTGGTATTTATTCACCGCTGGGATTTTTTTTTTTTTTTGCTATGTAAATGAAAATGTCCAAAAAATGTTGAAAAAAAGTGTTTTTTTTATAAAATTTTGCAAATAAATAATATTTCATCATAAATATTTGCCAAAATTTATTCTGTTATCTTTTTAGTAAAAAAAAAATCCAAATTAGTTTATAACCAAAAATTATAATTTTTAAACTTTTTTTTTTACATTTTTATTTTATTTTTTTTATCTTATTTTTTATTTTTTTTACATACTGTCACCCTAGCAATACAGTGTCACCATGGTGACACTGTACTACTTGTGGGGGGTGATGAAGATTTTTTTTTTTTTTTTTTTACACATTGCTTTTACACCCATATAGGATGTAAAAGCAATCATTTCTCTTTCTCTCTGTCTGCATTCTTGCACTCATTGAGAAATACTGTGTGAGCTGTGATTGGTCACAGCTTGTCACATGGTACAAGGCTGTTGTGAATAGGCTTGTACCATGTGACCTCTGTCATCATTCACAGATTTCACATGTAGTAAGCAATGATGTCACAAGTGACATCTTGCTTACTACTTTGCATGTGATCACTGATTGGCCAATCAGTGATCACATGATCGGGACCTCGTACAGAGGTCCCGTCCGACGATCGGTGTTTCACTGTGTCCGGAGGACACAGCGGGCACCGGATCGCGGTGCTGCGCGCTCCCAGGGAGCACACACAAGCAGGGTGCGAGGAGGCCGTTTATAAACGTCCACCCGACCCTGCACTGCCACCGTTCGGCCGTTTATATGCAACGGCTGGTCGGGAAGTGGTTAAGGAACATTGTGCAACCTGAGTAAACCAGCAGAGTTTCACCCCCATTAAGTATTGTATATTATAAAAATTAAACCTTTCTTTCCTTCATCAACTAAAAAATAAAAATAAACAAAACAGGTCAAGCAAATGTCAAGAAACATAATAAATATTGTTATAGAAACATACATTGCCCTATGAAAAAAAAAACACATTGACATTTATGTTACATTTACAAGGAATTTTACATTTGATTAGAAAACTTACACACATTTGTCAATGTATAAAATAATATAGAATATTTGTTAAATTGTGAAATTTAAAGTTCCCTAAATATAATATCATAGTTATGTTCATGTGCCTGGTTAGGGCATTTACATATTTTGATGATTACAGAAATGTAACCTCAAAATATTGTTGATAATTTTTTCAATAACTTGTTTAAGGTCTTTATTCCTCAGAGTGTATATTATTGGATTCAGCATAGGAGTGACCACAGTGTACAGCAATGACACAAATTTAGTGATGTTCCATGATTGTCCTCTACTCGGTATCAAATATACAAAAAGTAAGGTACCATAAAAAATAGAAACAACAGTCAGATGAGAACTGCATGTTGAGAAAACTTTCTTCCTCCCAGTAATAGACGGGATTTCAAAAATGGTGACTATAATATAAATATATGATATAATGATGCCAAAAAACGGGATGACTGCAAAAAATATGGTTGATAAAGTTACCAATAGTTGAACAAGGCTGGTACTGGAGCAGGAGAGATGTAGGATTGGGTCAAGATCACAGAAAAAATGATCGATAATATTGGGACCACAAAACTGTAGTTTTGACATGTCTAAGGTGTAAGTCAATACTGCTAGGAAACTTAAATTCCAGCTTGCGATTATTGTCATCCAACAAAACCGATGGCTCATTAACAAAGTATAATGCAATGGCTTACAGATGGCCAAATATCTGTCGTAAGACATCACAGTCAGTAAAAGACACTCAAAGGTTATTGAGACACCAAAGAAATACAGCTGGGTGATACAATTTGGAATGGAAATGATGGTGGTATTTTCCAAAACGGCATGGAGCATGTTAGGAAGAATATCAGTTGTTAATAACATATCCGATAGAGCGAGCTGGGAGAGGTAGAAGTACATGGGGGAGTGGAGGGATTTGCTGTAGGACACCAGTGTGATGATCAGGAAGTTTCCACATAATGTCAAACAATAAAACAGAAGAAATACAAAGAATACCAAAAACGTTAAACTCTGTGGAGTCTGAAGCCCTAAGAGGTGGATAGCAGTTATGGTCTTGTTATGTTCATCCATCACCTAAGAATAGAACAGAAGAGCTTAATTGTTAAAGCTTTCTAAAAAAAATATAAGCTTTTTATCCTCCCTAGCAGTATGATAATGCCCATACTTCTGTGCTCAAAGTGGTACATTTTTTTGCATGGAAATATGTCTTTTTTTTATTGTAGGCTGTAATTTTTAGGAATAACTCACTGAAATCTGTCCGAACAAGAGTCTAGTAAACATCCCGGGTATGATAAAATTTGAAACACAAAATCATAAATTATAATATAATAAATAATCATAAAAAATAATATAATAATAATAAATTTATTTCAATAATGTAATCAAACCAAAAACACTGAAATGTGAAATAGAGCGCCAAGTTCGCACATCGCTGAGCTCAGTCGCAGAATCGTTTTCAGTGTCTGATGATGAATTTCCCCCACGAATCATTATCACTCAATTCTGCAAGTGGTTCTGATTTACTATCGCTGTTCTCTAGCCGGTCTAAAACCGCGTCTGACCTAAAGGGACGCTTTTTGGACGCCATGGACGTTTCTCAGTTTCCAGGCAGAAAGAACAGTAAAAATGCAGGCAGGGCGCCGGACAAAGCACTCGGGACAATATGTATGTGAAATGGTTTGATACAGGAATGTTATACTATGTGATTTTAGTGTATTTAGTGAATGTCACTTTTTGACATTTTTAAATTTCCCGCCAGTTCTGTCCCCGTTTGTCCCAACGTCGCAGGGAACAGAACCCGGAAGACAGATGCCGGCATCAGCCGGATGACATTACAGGGGACACTGCAGGAGGGACATCGCAGGAGCGCTGGACAAGGTAAGTGATCGAGGGATCCCAGAGCAACGCTGCAGTGTATAACCCGAGTGTAGATCGGGGTTACCGCTTGTGGTGCTGAAACTTTACCCCGAGCTACACTTCTAGATAAGAAGACAGAAGAAGTGATGGGAGAACATCAGCAATATAGAAGGTGGAATAATGACTGCCTCTGATAACTAAGTTACAAATATATAGAAAATAGCATCTCAAATATTCAGCAGCAAGAGTCTGACTACTAAGGGTAAATAACCGGTTCTCTTTGCGAAGGTGGTTGCACTGTACAAGGGAATTTTGCCCAGAACTTAGTGAATAAAGTGAAGCTCTGCTGACTTCCATCATCCAATCATCTGCAAGCAATCAAATGCAACTTTTTTAATTTTTCTTGCACGCAATTGCGTATTTTTTGCAAAGGGAAATTCCACCACATTTACAAAACTCTGGGGGAATTTTCCTTGCAAAGTGCAAGTTCCCGAGCGAGGTGAACAGCCTATTTACCTTTAGTAAATCAACCCCATAAAGACAAAGTCCACTGCCACCAATGAACTACAACACCCCTGTTATGTAGAACCTTGAAATAAAGGACATCAGCTCCAAGAAGATCTTGCTTGCCTGTGTCAGGTTTACTGAGAGCAATACAATATATCAGATCACAGACCTGATATAGGCATTGTGACAAATGCAAACATAAGACTTGGTTTAAATAGAGAAACCTCAACATTAGACTGCATCTGGGCATATTGCCAAGGGATGGGGAATTTCCTAACTACCAAAGGAGTACAAGAAACATTATATTTTGGCATGGAAATATAGAAAAGTTTGGTAATTTGTCTGAATTATGTCCACAGAAGTCATCCATCACTTTGGGAATAATAATGGTTGACATGATATTGGACCAATTCACTCAGTTTTCAACCGAAAAGTATGAAAGCAACAGATGGGAACTCAAAAACAAAAAACATGTAGGACAGAACTCCAAATGTCCAATATTAACCCCCCTGGCGGTATTCTCGGGTGTAGCTTGGGGTAAAGTTTCAGTATCAAAAGCGGTAACCCCGAGCTACACTTGGGATTACCATGCGGCGTTGCTCTGGGGGTCCCTGCAGCACTTTCCTTGTCCTGCACTCCCGCGATCTGTCCTCTGCAGCGTCCCCGGCCATCTCCTCTGGCCGATGCCGGCATCTGTCTTCCTTGTTCCAGTCCCTGTGAGCGTCGGGACGTATGGGGGCCGGAACCAGTGGTAAATTTGAAAATTTTAAAAACTGACATTTTCTAATAAACTAAAATCACATAGTATAACATTCCTGTATCAGACCATTTCACATACATTTTGTCCCGAGTGCTTTGTCCGGCACCCTGCCTGCATTTTTACTGTTCTTTCTGCCTGGAAACTGAGAAACGTCCATGGCGTCCAAAAAGCGTCCCTTTAGGTCAGACGCGGTTTTAGACCGGCTAGAGAACAGCAATAGTAAATCAGAACCACTTGCAGAATTGAGTGATAATGATTGGTGGGGGAAAATTCCTCATCAGACACTGAAAACGATTCTGCGACTGAGCTCAGCGATGTGCGAACTTGGCGCTATATTTCACATTTCAGAGTTTTTGGTTTGATTATATTATTGGATTAAATATATTATTATATTATTATTTTTTATGATTATTTATTAAATTATAATTTATGATGATTTCGTGTTTCAAATTTTATCATCCCCGGGATGTTTACTAGACTCTTGTTCGGACAGATTTCAGTGAGTTATTCCTAAAAATTACAGGCCTACAATAAAAAAAAATACAGATTTCTATGCAAAAAAATGTACCGCTTTGAGCACAGAAATACTGACATAATCAGACCGCTAGGGAGTTTAATATGATCTGAGAGCCTGTTCACACCATGCCTGCATGATGTGCAATTCACATGCAGTTCTGTGTGGTGCAACTTCAGCCCATTCATTTTTCAATCACATGGAACAAAAATGCAATGCAATCGGATGTGAGCAAATGCACTGCATTTGGGGTGTTATTCACACTTTTTATTGACGCCCGCTGCAGATCACAAATGTAGTGTGTTTTGCATGCTGTATAAATTGTACAGGGACGTACAGAGTGTTCCTGTGCAATTCAAATGCATGCATGGCGTGAAGCGGCCCTGACTCCATCTTGTATGCCTGTATGGTATGTTGTAAGTTTTTCATCTTAGCACCCCTCATGTCATCTCTGTACTGTGTTGAAGCTAATTGAGCCAAGACTGTGCTCAATCAAATTTTTCTCTGGTCAGAGCATCTGGTGTTTGACCGCTATGAACCCGAACGTGGTGAGAGCTGAGACCTCCCGGGTTCAGACTATCAAAGGAAAATCAGCAAATGGATACTCACTGATCTCCCAACACACTCCATCCTGACACCCATCTTGGATGTCCCAGGCACCCAAATGGTGAGGACATATGGTGGTGGTGTCAGGTGGGGGAGGCACTTTCACGCACATATAGAAGGGAACCTCTTCTACTACTTTAGCAGCAGCTTACACTATAAGATACTAACAAACTCCAAAGGGTTAAAGTTGCCAAGGGGTGCAATGTAGACAGCCTTATGATTGTGCACTGTCATATGTTAAACTTTTCAAGGTATCAGCTGATAATTTTGATTGTGTGTCTCTATTCCTAATAAACCAACTGAATACTGCAAGCAGTTAAATAGAACATTGTTTTGTTATGTTTCACAATATTGTAATATTTCTGTAATTCTTACCTCTCCCTACAAAATATATGTTAAGACTGTAAAAAGAAAAGCCGTGTTTGCAAAGTTCAGATTTCCTTAGCAGTCAGTCAGATTTTTAATGGGAAATATAAATTGCAGATTTCTTTCCATGAGTTATTGTACTTGGCACTTTGCTGGAAAAAAAAAAAACAAAATGGAAAAGAGTAGATAAATGCTTTTCAGAAATAATAACAAACACTGGCAAATGTTTCCGATCAGCAAAGCAGGCAAAATACTGTTGCAAGTGTGTAAGAAAGGAAAACAAATTCAAAAGGATACAAAGAATGTTACTGTTGTAAAACCTTTTTTGAGATGCAACAATATATGAAGAAAATAGATAGAAATATTTTGTGATCAACCAATAAAAAACAGAATGTTAGTTAATCACCGTAATGGTACTATTTCTATCTATCTATCTATCTATCTATCTATCTATCTATCTATCTATTATCTATCTATCTATCTATCTATCTATCTATCTATCTATCTATCTATCTATTATCTATCTATCTATCTATCTATCTATATCTATCTATCTATCTATCTATCTATCTATCTATCTATCTATCTATCTATCTATCTATCTATCTATCTATCTATCTATCTATCTATCTATCTATCTATTATCTATCTATCTATTATCTATCTATCTATCTATCTATCTATCTCTATCTATCTATCTATCTATCTATCTATCTATCTATCTATCTATCTATCTATCTATCTATCTATCTATCTATCTATCTATCTATCTATCTATCTATCTATCTATATCTATCTATCTATCTATCTATCTATCTATCTATCTATCTATCTATCTATCTATCTATCTATCTATCTATCTATCTATCTATCTATCTATCTATCTATCTATCTATCTATCTATCTATCTATTATCTATCTATCTCTATCTATCTATCTATCTATCTATCTATCTATCTATCTATCTATCTATCTATCTATCTATCTATTATATATCTATCATCTATCTATTATCTATCTATCTATCATCTATCTATCTATCTATCTATCTATCTATCTATCTATCTATCTATATCTATCTATCTATCTATCTATCTATCTATCTATCTATCTATCTATCTATCTATCTATCTATCTATCTATCTATCTATCTATCTATCTATCTATCTATCTATCTATTATCTATCTATCTCTCTATCTATCTATCTATCTATCTATCTATCTATCTATCTATCTATCTATCTATTATCTATCTATCATCTATCTATCATCTATCTATCTATCTATCTATCTATCTATCTATCTATCTATCTATCTATCTATTTATTATCTATCTATCATCTACTCTCTCTCTCTCTCTCTCTCTCTCTCTCTCTCTCTCTCTCTCTCTCTCTCTCTCTCCCTCCCTCCCTCCCTCTCCTCTCTCCCTCCCCCCTCTCCCCCTCTCCCCCCTCTCCCTCC